CAGGCAGAGATGGAAGCAAGAACAGGTAACAAAGCCAGGGACCCAGGTGAGTGCTAAATAAATGAGAGCTGTGGTTACGGGAGAGTGAGGGTTGCAATGTCAGGAAAGAACAGGGAGGAGCCCTGGAGCCAGTAGGTCCCCACCCTTCCGTGATCAAAGGTCCCACTGGGAGCAGGAGCTCAGGAGGATTTCTCTCCATCTCTGCACCTGGCTCTTTGGCGTTGGACATTAGAGTGAAAGGAGGCGCCGGCCGGCTGGGCGCTGGAAGGCGCGCTCCACGGAAGCCCAGGCCGCTTAGCGCTGTGTGGCTGGAGAGGGATTTTCAAAGTGAAGTAGTTGGGAGCAAATTTCTAATGAATCCTATCCAACCATAAAATCATGTAGAAAATGAATTCTATCTGACAATAAAATAAAACTGAAACAAATTACTAGGCTCTCATATTTGTAGGATAAATTAATTTCATGTTTAGAATACTAATTGCTCGCTGAAGTCTGTGGCCACTGCTGCCGGGACTGAGCCTGAGCATCGAACTTGGAGGGGCAGCGGAGGAAGCTGGAGGGTGCGCCGGGGGCCCGTTCTCGCTGCTCCTGAAGCTGCCTCTGCTGAGTCTCTCTCCAGTGCCCAGGGCTCAGCTGGTACAACTGCTTACCATGTGCGAGTGCTCCCAAGTAGTTCCTCATATCTGGTTTCCCTCACACAGGGATGCGCCTGGGGACAGCAGTTGTATTTCTTCCATCAGACGTGATCTGTCCCAGGGCAGGGTCCCCCTCTGACTGGGGCTCCCTGAGGGCAGGGCTGTCTTCCCTCAGACGGAGGGCAGGGTATGGATCTTTCTCACTAGGCCGAGGGTTCCCTGGATAAAGGGGATTGTGAAGAAAACTATAAACTCTTTTCTCTGAAAAATGAACAGATACAAAATATAGCCTTTCAGGGATTCGTGGGCCCTGCGCCATGGCGTTGTGGGCCCTGCGCCATGGCGTTGTGGGCCCTGTGCCATGGGGTCAGGCTCCCTAGTGGGACAGAGAGGAGAGGGCTGCGGGGACTGAGCCTGAGCATCGAACTTGGAGGGGCTGCGGAGGAGGCTGGAGGGTCCGTCGGGGGCCTGTTCTCGCTGCTCCTGAAGCTGCCTCCGCCGAGTCTCTCTCCAGTGCCCAGGGCTCAGCTGGTACAAGGGCTTACCATGTGTGAGTGCTCCCAAGTAGTTCCTCATATCTGGTTTCCCTCACACAGGGATGCGCCTGGGGACAGCAGTTGTATTTCTTCCATCAGACGTGATCTGTCCCAGGGCAGGGTCCCCCTCTGACTGGGGCTCCCTGAGGGCAGGGCTGTCTTCCCTCAGACGGAGGGCAGGGTATGGATCTTTCTCACTAGGCCGAGGGTTCCCTGGATAAAGGGGATTGTGAAGAAAACTATAAACTCTTTTCTCTGAAAAATGAACAGATACAAAATATAGCCTTTCAGGGATTCGTGGGCCCTGCGCCATGGCGTTGTGGGCCCTGCACCATGGGGTCAGGCTCCCTAGTGGGACAGAGAGGAGAGGTAGGGGTGGAGCAATGACAAAACTGAGCTCGTGTCTGTGTACTGTAATATGAAGGACATGTTTTCCCCACCTTTCTCATGCTTTATGCCTCATGGTATGAAATGTGAGTTAATTCCCAATAATCTACATATGAGCGATTATATTAGTGGATTATCCGTGAAATGTTTAAAAACCCAAAGGCTGTGTGCCCTGTTGTCCCAGGACCTCCTGGGCCACCTGCCCCCGTTTGAAGGGTGCCTGTTCAGAAGACACTTGGCTTTTGTTCTTGTGACCAGCGCTAGTCGCCAGAAGGACACCTTTGGTTGATCTTTGTGCTAACACTGTCCCAGCAGCTCTGCGTATATGCTAATCCATATACCTTCCTGGTGATAGGCTTTATTATGCCCATTTGACAAGCTAGTGAACAAGACTCCAAGGGCTTTAGAATACGAGGCTGCACTGCAGCTGCGCCTGGGGTTGGGATTTGGATCGAGCTCTGGTGAACTTTTGCCTCCCACACTACGCTTCCATGCACAGTCAGGAAAATTAGCCTGTCCCCTCCCTGCCCCTGAATGTAAAATGTAGTCACACTCTTTAAAGATTGCATACACGTATGAAAAACTCCTAGCAAACAAAAGCCCTGGTCAGGATGGCTTCACAGGCAAGATTTACCAAACCTTCAAAGAAGAGCTATCAACTATCCTCAAACTATTCTAAAAAATTCAAGAGGAGGGAAGACTTCCAAGTTCTTTTTACTGGGCCAGTATTATCTTAATTCCAAAACCAGATAAAGACACTACAAAGAAAGAAAATTATTGGCCTATATCCCTGATGAACATAGATATCCTCAACAAAATATTAGCAAATCAGATCCAGCAATACATTAAAAAGATCATACACTATGACCAAGTGGGATTTATTTCTGGGATACAAGATTGGTGCAAAATTAGCAAATCAATAAATGTGATACATAACATAAACAAAATGAAGGATAAAAATCACATGACTATATCAATAGATGCAGAAAAAGCATTCAACAAAATCCAACACCCGTTTTTTATAAAAACTCTCAGCAAAGTGGGGATAGAAGGAACATACCTCAACATAATAAAGGCCATATATGACAAACCTACAGTCAACATCACACTCAATGGGCAAAAACTAAAGGCATTTCCCTTAAATCAGGAACAAAACATGGATGTCTGCTTTCACCACTCTTATTCAACATAGTACTAGAAGTTCTAGCCACAGTAATCAGACACAAATAAAAAAGAAAAAGCATCCAAATTTAAGAGGAGGAAATAAAACTGTAATTATCACAGATGACATGATATTGTACATAGAAAACCCTAAAGACTCCACCAAAAAATTGCTAGATTTAATAAATGAATTCAGCAAAGTAGCAGAATACTAAATTAACATACAGAAATCAATGGCATTTTTTATATGTTTTTATTGATTTCAGATAAAGAAAGGGAGAGAGAGATAGAAACATCAATGATGAGAGAGAATCCTTGATCAGCTGCCTCCTGCATGACCCCTACTTGGATCGAGCCCTCAACCCAGGCATGTGCCCTGAATGGGAATTGAACCATGACCTCCTGGTTCATGAGTCAATGCTCAACCACTGGCCAGGCTCAATGGCATTTTTATACACCAATAATGAACTCTCAGAAAGAGAAACTAAAAAAACAATCCTATTTACCATTGTAAAATAGATACCTAAGAATAAACTTAACCAAGGAGGTAAAAGACCTATATTCAGAAAACTATACGACATTGAAAAAAGAAATAGAAGTAGATACAAACAATTGGAAGCATATACAATGTTCATGGATAGGAAGAATAAGCATCATTAAAATATCCATACTACCCAAAGCAATCTACAGATTCAATGCAATCCCTATTAACATAAAACACCATATTTTACAGATCTGGAACAAATATTTAAAAAATTTATATGGAACCAAGAAAGACCCCTAATAGCCCCAGCTGGCTTGAGAAAGAAGAACAAAGTTGGAAGATCACAATTCTGGATATCTAACTATACTACAAAACCATTATAATCAAAACAGCCTGGTACTGGCACAAGAACAGGCATACATGTCCTCTTTCGAAAAGTATCTTTTTAGGTCCATTGCCCATTTTTTGATTGGGTTGCTTATCTTTCTTTTGTTAAGTTGTATGAGTTCCCTGTAAATGTTGGAGATTAAACCCTTATTGGTGATAACATTGGCAAATATATTCTCCCATCCAAGAAACTAGAAACACCAATCAAAAAGAATATATGCACCCCTATGTTCATAGCAGCACAATTTACAAAGCTAAGATTTAGAAACAGCCTAAATGCCCATCAGCAGATGAGTGGATTTAAAAAACTGTGGTACATCTACACAATGGGAATACTATGCTGTGGTAAAAAAGAAGGAACTCTTACCATTTGCAATAGCATGGATGGAACTGGAGAGCATTATGCTAAATGAAATAAGCCAGTCAGAGAAAGATAAATATCACATGATCTCACTCATTTTTGGAATGTAATGAACAACATAAACTGATGAACAAAAACAGATCCAGAGACAGAGAAGCATCGATCAGACAGTCAAACCTCAGAGGGAAGGTAGGGGAGGGTCGGGGTAAGGGGGAGAGATCAACCAATGGACTTGTATGCATGCATATAAGCCTAACCAATGGACACAGACACCAGGGTGGTGAGGGCATGAGGGAGGGGTGGGGGGCAATAGGGGAATAAGGACACATATATAATTCCTTCATCAATAAAGAAAAAAAAAAAGAAAAGGCATATAGAGCAATGGAACAGAACACAGAAATCTACCCAGACCATTATGACCAATTAATATTTGACAAATGATGCAGGAGAATATAATGGAATAAAGACAGTCTCTTCAATAAACGGTGCTGGGAAAATTGGACATGTACATGCAAAAAAATAAAAAGAAACTAGACCAGCAACTTACACCATACATATGAATAAACTCAAAATGGATAAAAGACTTAAATGGAAGTTGTGAAACCATAAAAATCCTAGAAGAAAACATAGGCAGTAAAATCTCAGACATCCCTCATAGCAATATTTTTGCTGATACATCTCCTAGAAAAAGGGAAACAAAGGAAAAATAAACAAATGGGACTACATCTAACTAAAATACCTTCTGCACAGCAAAAAGAAACCACCAACAAAATGAAAAAGGAATCCACTGAATGGGAGAACATATTTGCCAATGGTGCATCTGACAAGGGGTTAATTTCCAAACTATGTACAGAACCAATACAACTCAATACCAGAAAGGCAAACAATCTAATTTAAAAATGGGCAAAGGACCTGAATAGATACTTCTCCAAAGAGGACGTACAGATGGCCAATGGACATGAAAAAAATGTTCAACGTCACCAGTCATCTGAGAGATGGAAATTAAAACTATAATGAGGTATCATCTCACACCTGCCAGAATGCCTACCATCAATAAATCAACAAACAACAAGTGTTGGCGAGGATGAGGAGAAAAGGGAAACCTAGTGCCCTGCTGGTAGGAATGTAGACTGGGGCAGCCACTGTGGAAAACATTATGGAGTTTCCTCAAAAAATTGCCAATTGACCCAGTGATCCCACTTCTGGGAATATATCCTAAGAATCCCCAAACACCAATCAGAAAAAATATATGCACCCCTATGTTCATAGCAGTGTTAGTTACAATAGCTAAGATATGGAAACAGTCCAAGTGCTAAGATCTGGAATCAGTAGATGAGTGGATAAAAAAGCGGTGGTACATTTGCACAATGGAACACTATTGGTCTGTAAAAGAGAAGGATCTCTTACCCTTTGAGACAGCATGGAGGACCTGGAGAGTATTATGCTAAGGAAAATAAGCCAGTTAGAGAAAGACAAGTATCACATGATCTCACTCATACGTGGAATCTAAAGAACAAAAGAAACTAATGAACAAAATAGGTCCAGAGGTATGGGTGCATGGGACAGAATAATAGATCTCAGAGGAGGGGAGGATATGGGAGGAGAAGAGATTAACCAAAGAACATATATGCATATATGCATAGCCCATGGACACAGACAGTAGTGTGGGGAAGGCTTGGGATGGGGTGGGGGTTGGGTGGTGGGAGCAAAAAGGGAGAAAATGGGAGACA